TCTGGGACTAGAAAGTGCTATGGAAGATTTAACTATAATTACTTCTCATATTCACTGAGGCTGACACCTTGTTAACATGATGATTGTAAGAGGAGCATGGAAGACTTTAGGTGTTTTATGCATTCAGTTAAGCTGTCAAAATTAACTCATTATATCCACTAGAATTTCCTTAGCACTGGGGCAGCATGGTTTTTGGGGTGGGGGGCACCCCACAGTCATAGTTGTGCTGAGTCTGGGGTAGAGCGGCGGGGGCCAGGATGCTGGGGGGTGGGGAGTGCAGGACGGGCCCAGTCTGGCTCCCACTGCTCCTGCCTGACGCTCAGGGAGAGCACCTGGCAGGGTGCCACAAGTGTGCTGGGTCTCTCACCTTAATGGGAGGGAGGGGCAGGGCATTTTGGGAGTCCCATGACTGATCACATGAGGAAAATGGGGCATAAAAGGCAGGGTCTGGCCCTGGCTTGGGCACTGCCCCGGGCCGGGGGAATTGCAGCTGGGGCGGGCAAGAGCCTGGGCAGTGCCGGGAGCGCTGCTGCAGACCTGGGGACTGGCTTCAAGGGGGAGAGCTGGGCTGGCCGGGAGCCCAGGAGGGGAAGGCACAGGGCAGTGCCCCTGCAGCAGAGGGGTCCCAGCCTGCGCACGCAGGAGCGGGCAGGTGTGTGCATCGCGCGTGTGCATTGCAGGGGCTGCCTGGGGCTGGGAGGCCGAGGAAGGGCTGGTGCAAGGAAGGCTGGGCTGCAGGGCACAGGCAGCTTCCCTGCGGCCCCGATCTGGCAACGGGTATTAGGGCTCTCATACCCGCCTTACCCAGAGTATCTGGGGCAAGCGGAGAGGGCCGGGGGGGCACGGGTACCTGTCGTAGCCCAGCTGCTTGCAGGCCGTGCTGGCCAGCGTCAGATTGAAGTTATCGTGACATGCCCAGAACCAGACTCCGGTCTCCCGGTTGAGGACCTGCAGGGTGGATCCGTCCTTGGACACTCGGACTAGGGGGAAGTGCAGGTGAGCTCCATGGCGGGGCTGTCACCAGCCGGCTGCAGCGCAGTGCACGGGGCTCCGGCAGGGCCCGTTGTGCCCGGGCTGGTGACTAAATGCAGCAAGGAGCTCTGCCGGCCGCCCCCTCCACACCCTGGGCAGCCCCGGGCCCACGCTCACCTCCCAGCGAGGGGCCGAGCGGGGTCCGCTGCACGCAGTGCTCCTCGTCCTCGCCCCAGAAGCAGTCTGTCTGCTCATTGCACAGCTGCTGCAGCGGGATGAACTTGAAGGTTTTGCTGCAGAAGTAGTAGTAGTGCTCCACCAGCCCTTTGACTGGGGGAGAAGGGGCAGTGTCACCCTGGCCTGGCCATGGGGACCAGGCTGAGCCCTGCCCGGCGCACTGCCAGGGGCGAGGTGTTGGCCGTGCTGCCTCCACCAGCTTGTGTGGGGCTGGGAGGCCTAGGGCTTCTTCCCACGGGTGCTTGCCAGGGCAGGATTAATTTGCACTGAGCAATCCCTGCTCAGCTCAGCGGGGTGCACCCACCCACCTGCCGGGGACTACGCAGACGGGGACAGGCCCCGGCTCGAAGAGAGCCGCCCTGCCCCAGGAGCTCACCCTGCCGCCCCTTCGCAGCCAGAGCTGGGCTGCAGCAAGGAGTGACCTGTGCTGTGCCAGCCCAGGGGAGCCCCCACCCCTGCTGCACCTTGGCCTGAGAAGCCCCCAGTTTTGGGGGCCCGTATGAAGTTTGCAGCCTGGCCCAAGCTCTGCCCAGCTTGTACTGGCCTCGTGATGGCTTGGGTGCTATTGGTGCCGAGCCGCAGTCAGGGCTGCGCTGGCGTTTCTTCCTGGAGCACAAAGGGAGGGCAGCAGCGGTGCAGCCCGGACTGCCTCAGCTGGGCGCGTGGAGCGGGGCAGCACGCAGGGCCTTACTCAGGAAGGCGATGGCGACGAGGGTGGCAACGCTCAGCACAGCGGCGATGATGGGGATGCCGAGTCGCTTGAAGGCCTGCAGCACGGCCGAGGGCTTGCGCGGCGGCTCGGGACCTGCAACGGAGAGCAGGCCGTGGGCGCCTCGCCTCTGGCCTGCCTGGCATACAGCCACATGCAGAGCCTGCACCTGGGGTCCTGGGGGCATTACCTCTCCGCAGAGGCTGCGTGGAGTCCGGGTCCTGAAAAGCAAGGGGAAGAGCAGTCAGCAAGCAAAGAACGTGTGAGCTGCCGTACGGGGGCAAGGCACAGGTGTAAAGGGACAGATACTTGTGCAGAGGGATCCGTGCGCTGCTCCTCTCCGCCCTCCCACCCCAGCTTCCAGCACTCGGGGGGCTGGGGAAGTCCTAGCCCCGACACTCCTCTTTATCACTGTCCCGTGGGAACCTGGCCGAGCCCCTTTGGCACCTGGCTAGACCACCAGCCTGCACAGCCCTCTGGCAAGGAGTCCCACAGGTTAACACAAAACTTTCCCTTTGCCTTCAGATCGGTGAGCTGAGAATTTCACTGCCCCCCGCCCCGGGTTACAGCACCATAAGTTAGTGGCAGTAAACCCTTGTTACTCCCGCCATGCTGTTCATGTTTTTACAGGCCTCCATCCTATCGCCCCTCAGTCGCCTTCCCTGAGCCGGGAGTCCCTGCCCATCGAGCCTGAAGACGTGGATTGCAGCTGGAAGGGCAGAGCTGGAGCTGGAGCTGGAGCCGGAGCCCGGCAAGGCCTGGCAGGGGGCTGCATGCCCGCATGCAAAGACCTTCCTCCTCGGCTCCACGAAGAGCCCGGGGGCCTGTGGTTTCGGAGGTGATGGACCCCCGTGGGGCTCTGCGCGGGGCCCTGATTCTGCACTCGCCCCATTGCCAAACGCCCTGTTGACGTCCCGCTCACCACCGCAGGCGCCTCACTGGGCGCTGGAGCCCAAAGCCTGGGACCCGCGGCCTCAGTGCTTTATCCCAGCCCCTTGGAAACGTCCGGGAGAGAGGCCAGCTCCGCCGCAGGGCTGATCCTCCGCAGCCATGGGCGTCTGGCCGGACGGGAAGCCAAGCCGCTTCACAGCTGCAACAGCGCGGGAACAACGTGCTCGTCGCAGTTGCACTTGGCTTTGCTGCGCCCGCCCGCCTCATCGCAGCCAACGACCCCCGGCCTCCTGGGCCCCGCGGCCTGTAGCCTTGGTGAGGCCGTTCCTGTGCTCGCAGCTGAGCACATGTGCAAACGCGCTGCTGGCCCGGGGCCAAGCCCTCAGCCCGGGCCCTTTCCGCCACAGCAAACAAGCCAAAGGCAAAGGGGAAAACCAGCCCCAGGAAACCTTGGCACTTCCCTTTGCAGGAGCCCGAAGGCTGTTTGTCTGGGGAGCTTGTTACTCCAGCACGACTCCACTTACGTCATCTCGCCTCCGCTGACCCCAGGGGAGAAGTCACCCGGACCCGAGAGCCTGGACCCGGGGCCGTGGGAATGGCCGGCCGGGCCCGCCGCGGCCCTGCGCGCTGACCTCCAGCGCCGGGCCAGGGCCCAGGGGCTGCGGGGTGCGGGCTGCGTCAGCCTTTGTGAAGCAGGGGAGAGGATTAGGGGCAGGCGGAAAGCCCGGTGCAGGGCTGGGGCGGAGGGCTCTGCCCTGGAGCTGCCTCTAGCTCAGCCGGCAACGCGGTTCCTGCTGCCCGACGCGTGCCCCGGGCCGAAGTCTCCAAAATCTCTCTATCTGGCAGCGAAGGGAGCCCGCAGGCTTTCCCCTCGCCCTGGAGCAGCGTTTCTCACCCCTTCCAGCCTCAAAGCACCCTGGAGAGATCGAGGCCCCTCCATAACTGTGACCGGAGCAGCACCCCGTTCCCGAAACCAGCTCATGGATGGCTGCGCCCAGCTCCGTGCAGAGGGGCCAGGCAGGGACGAGCCCCAGGCTGGCTCCTCTGCTCATCTCACACTTCCCGGGGCCCCCGGCCGAGGACCGCTGCCTTGGAGCGGGCCCCCACCCGCACAGCTGTGGGGACAGGCTGCAGATCCGCTCTCAGGACCATTTTCTCGGCAGATCCCCTTGGTCCCGTGGGGGCTAGGCCTGGCTGGGCTCGCTTCCCAGCATGTCCGCCTTACGTTAGCGTCCAGGTCTGGTTTGCCGGCTGGGGCAGCCCTTCAACTGGGGGCGCCCCCGGGCTGGTGCCCGGGGGCAGGTGAGGAGGGAGGCAGGGGCGGGGAAGCCGGGCCAGCCCTTGGCGCTGCTAGGAGACGCTGTAAACAATCCCGGTCCCCTTGGAGCCACCGGCACCGGGACCGAGGCACGGCTGCTCCCTCCCTCCAGCTCCTGGTGACACTGTACGGTAGGACAGGAGCCTCGCCGGGGCCGGAGAGCCCTGGCAGGCGCCCGCTCTGCCCAAGCAACAGCTGAGCCGCTTCGGGGTGGCCCATTCGGTCAGGGCCACGAGGCCGGACCCGTGCGCGGACCCCCACGTTCCCCCCAGCCCTCGCCGTGCTGCTGGGAGCTGCGCCCGGGCTGCTGACGCGAGACGCCGGCTCGGCCTGGCCCACGGAGAGCAGCACGCTGACATGTTGCTTCACTGTCCCTTCCAGCCCTGAGCAAGACCGCTGCCCCCGGCGTGGCGCCCGGGCCCCATGATGGCAGGTAAGGAGGCTCCGGCTCTCCCACAATGGGGCAGCAGGCACACGAGCAACGCAGCGAGGCCGGCTGGCCCAGGGGACAGCGGTGTAGAGGGGTCTGGGCGCCGGGCCTGGGAGCGGGGCTGGCGGCAAACTCGGGGCTGCCCTGGCTTCCCAGCTGTCCCTGGCTGCTGCCGCTGGCCGTGCAGCCAGCCCCACACCGCGAGCAGCCCCGGCAAGTTTCCGCACAGCTACGAGACCCCCTGGTCACAAATGCCAAGCACTTTTCTTTGCCTCGACTATCATGGCTGTGGGTGCTCTCCATTCTCCGCAGCCCTGAATGCAGGCTCAGCGCCCCGTGTGATCACAGGACTCCAGGAGTCGGGGCTTTAGGGGAAACACCGATGTCACCGAGCGTGGGCTAATGCAGCAGGAACTGCAGCCCTGGGCAGGAGGGCAGGGCTCAGCTGAGCCCCTGGCTCGTTAAGCTGTTGCTAATGGCTCTGCCACCGGTGGGACCAGGGCAGGGTGCCTTGGGAGCCCGGGGCTGAGGTGCTCCCCCTCCCCGTGCCCGCACCTGGTGCAGTCCCTCCTGCCCCCATGGGGAGGCTGGCATGGCTGTGCAATGCCACGCACGCAGACGCCGCGCTTGCACAAGCTGGAGCATGGTCACACCCGCTCTGCGCCCACGCGGCCCAGGCCAGTGACAGCCGAGTGGGAGGGTGCTGGCTGTGCCGCCTTTGCCCACAGCTGGGGGTATCGGTCCTCCGGCACCCACCCGGGCGTCGCTGCTGCCCCGAGCAAGGAGGGTGCGAGGGATGCCAGGGCATCTCCTCCCCCTGCTTTGCCCTCCCGCCTGGGCCTCCGGGCCTCTCCTGGCACCCGCTGGCTGTGTCCTCTGCCTGCCTCGCTGCACCCACACAGGCCAGAAAACTGGTTCAGGGAGTGGGAGGGAGATGGGGCAAGGCCCAGAGCAGGTGACTGGGGCTGGGCCTTGTTTTGGTGTCTCCATTTCCTCGGCCCGGCCTGAGCTCTGTCCCCTCCAGCCTCCCCCTGCACAGGAGGTCATCCCCGAGTGATGGCTGGGCCGTGTTTCATCTCGACATTTCTTCGATGAACTCGCCTCCTGGCCAGAGCAAGCCCCTGCTGCCACTGGGGGTGGAGAGGGCTCTCGCTCCCCGCCGCGCAGCCCCGCTCGGTCCCAGCTCAAAGCAGAGCGGTCGCTGGTGCCTCGGGGCCGAGAGACGAGCGCCAGCTTTCTGGGATCGGAGCTGCTGGCGCTGAGCTCGCCCAGCCACGCGTTCAGCTGTGCCCTGCCCGGCCTGGGGGGCTCTGGGCGAGGGGACCCCACAGGGAGGGAGACCCCTGGGTGCACGGTGCAGGTGCCCTCCCCACCAGCCTTGCCGGGGTGCAGGGCAGGGCAGGCCGACAGGCTTGGGGGAGCTGCTGGGCCCGGCGGTCACACAGCAGCCCGGGGGGGACGGCCCTTCTCGGGAGCATGCTGCCCAGCCTGGGAAAGGCGCACGCGGCCTGGCGAGCGACTCGCCCACGCGCAGCGGCTGTGCGGGTCCGAAGGGCAGCCGCAGCGGCCTGGGAGCAGCGGGGGGGGTGATATAGTCATCCCACAGCCGCATGAAATGGAGACGGGGAGCGGGGAGCACGCTCCTGGGTGGAGGTGCTGCGGCTCTCAGAGCCAGGGAACAGCAGGGGGCTTG